GATTACCAATCTCTCCTGGGGGACCAACTCGTCCTGGTCGACCAGGTGCTCCCTTTTGTCCTTTGTCCCCWGGTTCTCCTGTAGCAGAGAAAGAAAAACAAGAGTTTTATTTCAAATATACTTCTGTAAATTCAGTTCTTGTCAAATATTCTTATGTATTCTGCATGACAATGTGAACCTTTGAGTCCAGGGACAAGAATCTGGACCGTGCAGGAGTCGTCTGCCACATGTTGTCCAAARGAACTCTGCAGTGGTAATAAACTCATCATTACAGACAGCAGCATGGTAGGAAGAACCAGTTTTCCTCCTGTCATTCTTCTACGCAGAACGGAAAAGGGAACGAGCACAATAAAGAAAAACAATGAAAGTGTTAAGCGTTTCCAATAGAAAAGAGTCCAAGCTGAATCTTTTATTCTACTAGGAATTTTTTTGAAGATGCTCGAGTTAAAGACACAGGATCAACATCAGATGCTTGTATATATCAAGTGTGGTTTTGCTGTAATAAATTATAAGCTTTACCTTTTGTTGATCTACCTTTAAACATTAATAAACAAGACATCTTCTTTTCCAGAAACATTGACTTTTAGAATCAACCTTGCTTACCTGTCGATGTATTTTCCAGACAGAAAAAGAGTTATCCCCACRAAGTAGAAGCTTTGAATGTTGTGGCGGTACTGCAGGCACATTTCATGTTCCTCCCCAAGAAACCACAGAATGTGTGTGTGACGGGACATTTATAAACATTTCACAGATAAAGTCCGAAGCAGTTGGGGCCCCGCAGATAATTGGCTGGGAAAGTAGCCGGGTGATTGATGGCAGTGAGGCCCGYTACAACCTCTGCGCTACCAGATGATCAGAATGAAATGGATGCCTTTAAAGTAACCCAACAGATTTGCATTCACTCCAATTTTTTTGCAAGTGTGTTTTTTAAAAATAATTTTATTCTTTAAAAAATGAAAAATATAAGTGTTTAAATGCTTGCTGCCAAATAGTTTTACTGTGTATATGTGTGACTATTATTCTTTGTAATTGTTTTTACATAAAAAAAATAAACAATGTGCAAAATTCTTTACATGTGGAACAAAGAAATTTGAAAATCAAAGTTTTTTTGTACTCCGATCAAAGTTTTGTTATCAAAATTTTATTGAGTCTGTGTCTTAATGGAATATGAGTTGAATCCCCAATGTTCTCATAGGTAAACACAAAAAACCAACATATATACTATTTTTACTTTTTTTTTTCTTTAAACTGCATCCAATATCRGCTCCTTTTATGTCCTAAAGCTGAAATACACCAACAATAAGGTTGGGTTTGGGTTCATAGTGACATGTTGTTTCCAGTATGTGGCCACATGAGGGCGCCATTGTCCATGCAAGGAGAGGAATGGAATCTTGTCCCAAAGTACTCATCTTAAAATTTCTTCTATTTTATACACAAAAAATAAGACATAGATAAGGATAAATTGTTTTCTTGATTATAGTGTGTGTTGTATTCACACTGAAATATATGGAACTGTGTTTCCATATTTCTCCTTAGGTCTGTAGTGTTAAGGATGACATACAGTCAGCAACTTTGACTTTTATAAGTGTTCTAAAAATGTCTAGTTAGTGTTTACATGCTGTCCATCTTATGTCAGTAATCAGATATGGTCCAGCACAAAAGCATCAGATGACCTAATTAGATTTACAAACCCTGTGGCAGCCAGTGTTTCAACTGTGGATTAAATGTCTCCTTCAAAAACACCCCCAAAAGTTTTAAATTACCAGCCTCTCAAATATTTATGACTCTCAAGGCAGCGTGTGCAGTCTCTTCATCACAGTCACTGAAGTGGTCAGTTGTTTATTTTTAATTTAGTTTCAATTTTTTTTAGATGAAATAAAATATATAAATATCAGAGTGAGTGGCATAATGTCAATTGGTTAAAATGGATGTGGCATTTATAAACGTTCAATGACAAAATAAAAAAAAGGATATTTGAAATTTAGTTGTGTTTGTTTGATTCTTTTCATATCATACACGTACAATACAGTTTTATTCGTATACGTTAGATCAGATGTCAATATGTTTAATTCCGGGGGAAAAAAAACATTATTTGTTAGTTATAAATGTGTATTGACTTATTCAGACTGTGTTGGTCGTGTGTTTTTCCGCAGAGTCAGCGGTCATAAAATCGACCCGAAACTAAATGTTCCGAGCAACACTTCAACGCACCTCCCTGGTGACGTCACAGGCGCTCACAGAGGGGCCGCGAGCGCAGGTTTGTGCTGCTGTTCATCAGTCCTGTGGTGCTGCGGAAGGAAACGCCGACAAACCTGGACAACTTCCTCCACTTCAGAGCTGTATGAGGGGCACAGCTGTCCCCCTGCACGTGAACWCGACTGAAGGATAATTCTCGTGAGTGTGACAAGTCAAACTTTTACACTTTGGTTTTTTAAACACAACTAGTATTAGCCTATACTTTTTTTTTATTGGGAATGATAAGTATTTTTTTTTATAATTCTTTATTTAAGCTAGTGTAGACGTTCGTTAACAATAAAATCAACTTATAAATGTGCATAAACTCCGCAGCTACCTCTTTTTGATTAAGAATGAAACTTTTTGTCTGTCGTTTATATATATATATATATATATATATAT